CCTAAATCCACTGAACTTCTCCATTTTCCTTTCGAATCCACTTTCAACTTTCCTTCTCCTATTCTTCATCCCAATGGGCAGCCAAAAGACAGCAACCAAAACCGGCGCACGAAAGTGCATGGTTAATGGTTGTTCAAACTGAAACTGAATCCAAACGGACAGCCAAAAGATAGCAACCAAAACGGGAGCACAAAAGTGCATGGTTAATGGTTGTACAAACTGAATGGAACTGGGTTCCTTGGGGGCGTAGAATTATCGGGGTCCGTCTTTGAATATCAGGAATTTTCTTACTTGTTAACCACTGAGAATGCTAACTAGTGAAGCGAAAAGGGTGTCCGCACGTTTCTTCTTAGTTCATCCTTATGTATCCAGAACTATTGGAGGACCACTGCGGGTTCGATAGTTGATGGCTGCATAGGGTTGGTAAAGGCAGGCGGAGCTTTACATAGTGAACCTGGTTTGAAATCAACATGGTGTCTTTTAATATCGAAGGTTTCTTAGTTGTGTTTGTCACTACTGCCACACAAGCGTTTTGTAACTCTCCATGTGCCACCACAAGTAAAGTCCCGCAGGACGGTGTTTATGCGCAAATTAGACGTTTAATTTCCTATTTGATCAGCCTTGCAGGCCTTTTGATTTGTGTCATCTGTCCATGTGTTAGTTCATTCTTTCCCCTGGGCAGCTTCTTAAGTAACGGTGATGTATAGATGATGGCAGTCTCTCTACCGGGCAAAAGTGGTTATAATAACTCAATAATCAGTAACTGTGATCCAGTCGTTCAATAGGTTATCACATTTATTCGCGTTATTCTCCTTTCACGCCTTATTTCTTACAGGCCAGATCACGGCTGCTGGTCGCATTCCTCCAGCTAAGGTGCTGGTGATCGGTGGTGGTGTCGCCGGACTCTCTGCAGTCAGTGCGGCACGAGGACTGGGCGCTGTGGTGCGCGCGTTTGATACTCGTGAGGCCGTTCGTGAGGAAGTTGAATCCTTGGGTGCTGAGTTTCTCACCGTTAACATAAAGGTGAATATCTTTCTCATCTAGTTTTGCCTGCATTTGAGTGACAAATTTGCTTATTTTTCGGAGCTTCATTTACTATTGTGGTATGGCATTTTCATCCTTTGAGCTAATCCATTGTATATTGGACATCTTTCGTTTAGGAATCCGGTGAAGGTGCTGGTGGTTACGCCAAAGAGATGTCAAAAGAGTTTTTGGACGCAGAGATGGAATTGTTCGCAAAACAAGCCAAAGACGTTGATATAATCATAACTAGCGCTTTGATACCGGGAAAACCAGCTCCAAAGCTGATCACAAAGGTAAGTCAGAGCTCCCCCTTATTATTCGAGGCCAGCTGCTGATCAGACGATTGCCACCAGGTTATTTGAACAATTAACTAGGATGATTTCAATACATTTGATAAAAAACACTTCAATGTTATCGCAATTTTTCACCTTTTTCCAGTTTCCAACCTCTCATTGCGTATCACTATCCGTTCTCTGTTTCGGCTTTTGCGTGGTATAGATAGATAGATAGTAGCAGACTTTCATTGGGCAATTGGCACAGAGTTTAGAGTGAGTGAGTCGTCCGCTTATCTACCACAGTTTCCGACGACATGCAGTGAAAATGACTTCGGTTCTTCCGTTTCGTAGATCGCAAACACGCACAACATAAACAATGTGAAACGAGTAAATTAGATCCATAAAATTGGAAACCATCACTTTATGATATTTGTCCGTGTCATTTAAGTTCTAACCGCAAACTGCGGTGTGGTTTCTAGATGACCACTTGATCGTCTTGACTGCATTATTGACTCTACTTTTTGCGATTCATTCAGTTTACGATTGGTTGCTTGTCTGCCCTGCTTTCAGTGTCTCTGTTCAACGTGATTTGCAGTCGTCTTCAACCCGCGTTCAGGTTTTGTCTATGTTTGGCATGCGAGATAATCTGAGGCGATGCGCATTTATAATTACGCCTGGCTGAATGAGAGCACATGGGTGTGATTCATTCGTAGAGGGATTTGGTGTGTTCGAGATTTGGTCTTTCAATCGGTCAAAGGTCATATATGTCTCACTGGGAGTGCGCGTGTAGATGTGAGCACCTTCTCTCGCGAATCCCCCACACTGATTCTATTATCAGAGTGTGAGCTACTGTTAGTCGAAATGTGTGCGTGAACCAGCTGCTTTTCCAACCACATCTGGTGTGCATGATCAGATGTCTCACGTTTCAACAGCGACTAGTTTGTGAAGCTGCATTCTTTTGGGAAGGCGCAGGACGGCTCTGTAATCAATATCTACGTTGCATATTCGGCAAATTGGTGGCTAGATAATCAACCTTTTTCGTTAGGTCACAATGCTTCTTGATTTTTTTGAAACAGATGTCTCGCCATACGGTCAAAATATGGTTTTACAAACATAGGCGGTTTTTATGAGCTCATAGACGGTTGATGCGTTCGTAAAATTGCACCCTAATCGGGGTTGCGCTGAAGGTTTTTTTACGGCGACGATCTATCGTGAATCCAAGGAACAATATTATTCAAAAGTTACCCGTTTCTGTCGACTGTCTTCATCTTAAGGAATAAATGTTTGTTTCAGATGCATACTGTGAACGCATTCCAGTTAGTTGGTGTCCATCGTACCTAGTCTGAAGTTTTTTCATAAATGTATCTCTTTATGAGCAACTTGCCATCAAAAATTTCATGTGTGCTGTGGAACCCCAATAGAACCGTCCCCTTCGGATCCGGTAACTTCTCCATCTCACATAAAAGCAGGAAACAGAAAATGTTGGGATTGCTGTCTGTCTTGAACGACATTCGGCTAAAACGTCACGAATGGTAGCTAGACTCATCCATTTTGACGGCTGAACTCAACGCAACCCAACTGAATTTCATTGTGTTGTGGATCATTGCTGCGCAGTGCAAAACGGGTAGCGAAGTGAAATGATCCAAAAATCGTTTGTTTTTTATGCTCAAGATTTAGTGATCGTCCGATCTACGACTTCGAAACTTTGGCGTTCGTCTGCTGCCCTCCCCCGGTTTTATCAGATCACCCGTATGCCCTCACAGCCATTTGGACAGAAGAAAATATGTTCATCATCACTGAGATCTTTGGGTTATAGTGAATATCTGCGTTTTTCTTCGACATGCCCGAATGCACCGACTTGTTCAGACATTTTCATCCGTATGAACGATACGCTTAACCCACAGAGTTCCGTTCGCGGACCTGCTTCACACTGGAGAAATTCGCGTCACTTAATAGGCGAAATTTGGCAATACATCCTTATCTTTGTCGGAATGATTCCAAATCGCTCTGGCCATGTGTGATTTTTTTGGAATTCTCTGAAACGAGCAAAGGCACGCGACTCACTCTGTACTACAAATGAGGAACTATGAAAAAACATTACATTGCGTGTCACGACTGTAGTGACCTATCTACTGTCTCTTATTTGAATTCCTTTTTACTCATAGGCCATGGTCGAGTCAATGCGTCCAGGCTCTGTGATTGTCGATTTGGCTGCCGAAGCCGGTGGCAATGTTGAAACCACCAAACCGGGCACTTTGTACTATCATCAAGGTGTGGCACATGTGGGTTACACAGATTTCCCCAGTCGCCTACCCGGACAGTCTTCATCGTTGTTCTCAAACAACGTAACGAATCTCCTATTGTCTCTAACGCCCCCTGGTAAGTGAACACACTTGGGTATATAATGCGTTCATAGATTAGCATTCGCTTTATAAATGTATAGTGCACATTTCTTGGTATTCAGATAGGTAAATAATGATTTCTCTATTTGGGAAAACGAAACGGCCCGGGGCTTTCGTGCCACTTCTGCTTACATATGCTATCCGATTCGATACAGTTTTCTAACTCAGATCGGTTCAGGTTGTACTGTGCATATCCGTACTCTGGTTCTGCTACCAGAATAGTATCATAAAGTAAAAGTAAGCGTTTTAGGTCGGTGATAGAATTTACGAATACGATACTGACTGTTAATCGAAAGAATGGATAACGGATATTTTTAAGGGAACTTGTTTGAAAATTGCCTCATTGATTCCTATTACAAGTTGATTAACGCGGCAACTGATATGAGAGCGGTGTCTAGAGCAGTGCATCATAATTCGAAAGTTCTTAAACAGAATGGTAATCGGCAGTAGATTTACTGTATTTCGAGTGAGATACATCCGGTGTTCTTATTTGAGTTTACGTATATATATATATATGTATATATATATATATATGTATATATATATATATATATATATATATGTGTGTGTGTGTG